CAGCGCTCATTTATCTAGGTTAAATGTTTAAATTAATACTGTGAAATGCTTTAATACTGTAAAAGTGTTTTATGTCTATAGATTTTATTTTAGGCAAGTCGTCGTGTTGATTTGAGAAGGCTAAATTGATCAAACATATTTGTATAACTCATAACAACATATAACTCACTGTCTGCCGCTGGCCGCTTGGTCGTTCCTTTAAAAAACAAAAACCTGAATTTAACAAACATAAAATGTTCCAAACATATTTCTAAATTAACATAATAAAGAAACTAAAAGAAATATTACCACTTTGCCATTAAAAACCGAAGCTGAACTATTTTAATAGCTGTGTAATGGGGAAGAGGGAGAGAGAGAAAAGACACGGGCTCCAGTCGGACTCGGGCTGAGGGAAATTCAGGGAAATTGCAGTGAAATTCATTTCCTCGTTTCAATTAAAAGTTCCCCTCGGCTCGGCGGGCCCCCAATCTGCCCGGGCCCATATGCACCTGCATACCCTGCAGACGCTACGCCACTGAGTCGACCTCAAGCATTACTGTTATGTTGGTCCAAGCATACCGAGACCTCATTGCTTTCACAAATCACGAGGAAATCGAACCACAAACGGACCCACAAATGAACCGAACCTCCAGAGGTGGTCTGAGTACGGTTCGCTTTTGGGTCCTTTTAGGGGGGTCTGAGATGACTTGTTTGTTCACATATATGAGCTGAACCGCTCTGAGAGCGTTTGCAGGGCTCAAACGAACTAGGTGTGAAAACACCCTTAGTTTCCAAAGGAACAATCACCTTACAAAGCGAAGATGTGAGTTTTAGAAGCTTGTACATAGACCTTAACACACAAACCTCAAGAACGCTGACAGTCAACAAATGTAAAAAGATGAGCTCTTAACATCACAACACAACAAATAACTAACAATAATGACAAAACAACAACAGAAGTTTTAAAAAAAGTCAGCAAATAGTAAAATAGTAATCCTATAACAGCAACCACATCATTTATTCATGCTGTAATGCATGCTGGGAACTCAATTATAGTCACCAATTCTCACTATTAACTGACTTTTGCCTCAATAAACTCCTGATTAGCTGCTTATTAATAGTAAGGTAGTTGTTAAGGGATCTAAAATATGATCATGCAGAAAAGGGCATTAATATGTGCTTTATAGCCACTAATGAACAGCCAATATGCTAGTAATATGCATACTAATTCGCAACTAGTTAATAGTGAGAACTGGTTCCTAAACTAAAGTGCTACTTAAATTCTTCAGACGGCCTTGTTTGTCTAGTTGGGACAGCATTTGGAGCACTCTGTTGGTCTGACACGGGCAAGTTTATGTAATTTCAATTCATTCTGATTTCATAGTATTTGTGACTCAAAAGGTCCGGTGTGTATGTGACTTCCTCACCTTTGCGAAGCTCTTCTGGCTGTCATACTTGAGGTGTTTGGGGTAGATGTAGATGTGATTCTTGTAGACTCTGTAAGGCTGGGCAAACTTAGAAGAGTCCTGCAGGAACTCATCCACCTCCACCGTCGGAGCGTGAAGACCGCAGTCCTCGAACGGCCTGAGAGCCACATACGAGGACGTCACACAGTCTGAGGAACAAGCATGCATGACGATGAGTGTGTGGCCACACAACAGCCAGCGCTTACGTGCTAAGTACATAAAAGCTGAACAACATTTATGAGTAAAATTGCATTTTGCATCAGTTTGGCCTCAAGTGTGAGGGTTGTGGTATTAGTTGGACGTACTGGGACATTCCATGGGAACACAGTCCACGTTTATTTCAAGGTTTCCCGGGATGATCTGGAGTTTGCTGGCCTTCTCTGCCCTGTAAAAAACACTTGATTTTTACTGAGGTCATTTATGATGACGTGTTCATTTGGACAACTTTAAAGGCGATTTTCTGAATATTTAGATTTTTTTGCACCCTTAAGATTCCAGATTTTCAAATAGTTGTATCTCGGACAAATATTGTCCTATCCTAACAAACCATACATCAATGGAAAGCTCATTTTTTCCGAGTCTGTACCTCCTGTACTCTGTGATGAGCTTCATGAGGTCTTCTGTGGAAATCTTGTTGCTCTCCTGTTTGAAGAGCGGAGAGAAGCGACTTTCCCTGTCCACTGTGCCCTGGTTGTCCTTAAATACTGACCTGGATTATACAGACGGAAGAAATGCTATGATTGAATTTAAACAAACTGTTAATATTGCAAGAGCTTTTTTTTGTTGTTGTTGAGCATTTGTTCTGGCATAGCTGAAGAGATTTAGGATTCCCTTACCTTACAGACCAGGCAAAAGGCATGCGGTACTTTCCAAGTTTGCTACAGAATTGTTTATTGGATTTCAACATCTTTTGGACAGTCTGGATGGAACAAGCAGAGAAATTGGAGTTCAATGTATTTGAGAGAACAAAATCAATGAGCAAGTCTCCACTTACTACATAACTTTAATCATATTAGTGCTTAAATCAATATTCTGTGTATTTATCCTTATGCCACATATAAAATTGTCTAAATGCCATTACTTTAGTGACATTTGGGACATTTGCAAACAAATGCACAAAGCAAGGTCTATATAAACATGATTGGATGAGTCTGGCGTGGAAGAGCTTTACTGGCCACACAGAGCCCTGATCTTAACCACATCAAAACCCTTTGAGATGTGCTGGAATGGAGACGATCCAACATCAGTGCCTGACATCACAAATGTGTTACTGGATAAACAGACAAAAATTCCCACAGAAACGCTCCAGAATTTTGTGGAAATCCTTCCCAGAAGAGTGGAAGCTGTTATCCCAGGTAACAAATTTAGGTTACAAAAACATTGTGGGAACATTGTTTTGAAATATTTTTAAACGGTTTTATTGTTATGATTATAACGTTATTTAAAGGCAGAGTAAGTGATTTCTGGTAGCCAATGTTGATATTTGAAATCACCAAAACAAACACGCCCCTACCCCAAAAGGGTCTTGCCCCTATTTTGATAGCTCCGCCCCACATATACGTATTCAACCCAGGCAACGATTAGTTCTGTGAAACAAAGCAAAACCAATGTTACACCGTGTCTACATCGGATGTGAGCGGCGCGGCGCAACAAATCCCCGACAGAAAACTGCTGCCGGGTTCTATTTATGACGTGATGACACAAATTTCAAATGGTTTTCAACGGTCGTTTGATCGCGTCCAGTGTAGGCAGACTTTAGCTGTTGTAGACACGGTGTTACTCACCTATTGAGAAGAAACAAAGCAACCTCGGCGTCCGATCGCAGGCCTCCACTCCTTGAGTTCTCTCCAGCGCTGGAAAGCTGATCCGATATTTACACGGGTCCTACTTCTTGCCTTATCGTTCCGCAGACGTTTTCCTCTTTTGTTTTTTATCAGCCATCTCTATCTTTCTGTCGCTCGGCTCGCTAATGTCCGTCCCATGCACTGAAAGCTCTCTCCTCCACATCACGAGTAGACACGCCCCTTATTGCTGATTGGCTACAAGTTTGTTTTGCTATTCGGCCCGAATCAGTTTTCTAAAGTGTTTTTGAAAAATCACATACCCTGCCTTTAAAGGTTACAAAATTGTTTCTTACATCATTTTACTAACTTTATTTTCACACGAGATATAACATTATTTGAATGTGTATTTTTAAGATTCTAAGAACATTAATGTCGTAATTAGAACATTATTTAAAGGTTACAAAATAAGTTTTAATAACTTTATTTTCACATAATATAACGTTATTTGAATGCTTATTTTTAATATTTTAAAAATGTTAAAATGTTATTTGTATTTTTTATCATGATTAGAATGTTAATTAAGGGTTACAAAAACATTTCTCATAACGTTCTACTAACTTTATTTTCACCTAAAACAGTTGAACACTTATTTTTATTATTCTAAGAACATTTCTTGTCATGATTAGAATGTTATTTAAAGTGGTGGTTGATTGCGATTTCACTTTTTTAACGTTAGTTAGTGTGTAATGTTGCTGTTTGAGCATAAACAATATCTGCAAAGTTACGATGCTGAAAGTTCAATGCAAACGGAGATATTGTCTTTTAAAATTATGGCAGTTTAATGCCTACAAAAACGTCTCATAGGGACTACAATGAGCTTCTTCCCGGGTTTGTGACGTCACAAACCCTGATAAACCCCGCCCCCGGGAACATGCAACAAAGGAGGCGAGGCCATGCTGTGCTGCTTTAGAGAAGAGGAAGAGTTGTTGCCATGCTGTCAAAACTAGGGCTGCACGAAAAAATCAATTCATATATGAATCGGGATTCTGTCTTCTAATGATTCTAATGGATTCACAAGATTCAAAAT